CCTTTTGATGATGAAATGTACTTTTGCCTGTGTTTAAACTCTTTTAAATAACAAGCCACAGAGTTGCAAATTCTCCCGATTTAGGCAGGAGACTCCTGATTTTTGACCGCTCACCCGCCAACCCGATTTACAATATATTTCTCCTGACTTTTTCTTATTCTTATAATTTCTCACGATTTTTATTGAACTTGGCTTAATACTTCGTTATATGAACAAAAAAAAAAAAAAAAAAAAAAAAAAAAAAAAAAAAAAGCGATTTTGGACGTCTGAAAGCAATTGAATTTTCTCTAGATTATATTTAAAACAAAACCTTGTGAATCAGATGAGAATTTTTGCTTTGTGAGTGAGAGCATACGTATCCAGAAACGTTGTTCTGCAATGAGCATCGAGCTCCACTGCGTGGCATATATTAGCCAATGAGCACAAAGCAAGCTCAAGGCTTGTTATTATGGATGTTCTTTAGTTTTTCTTTTCATCATTGTTCCTGAGTTGTGTGAGTACACGTGCCTTCGGAAAATAGTTTTAGAAATTATCATCTTTTGCTATGTGACTGCGAGAAAGGTGAAATATTCGTGTACCTTTCAAAAATCGTACACAGTTGACTTTCCTTCCATTATTTACTCAAGGAATGTAATAAATTTGCGATGTGTACAGTCTGTCGTTGCGATTTTTCGATTTCGCATGGCAGAAGGTCGGATGTTCTCATTCACAGGGTTGCCACGCTACCTGGAGAACCGGAAAAGTCAGGGAATTCGAAAATTGATTAAAGAATTCAGGGAAAAGTCAGTAAATTTAAGTATTTTTGTCAAAATCTGGAAAAGTCAGGGAATTTCATACAACGATCCTGCCAAAAAAAAAAAGCAATTTTTTGCGCCGCCGTCGGAAGAGAACTTTTTTGGCGAATTGTGTATCACGTGAGTGTCATTCGGGCAGCTGGCATAGAGCAAATTTTCGCAGCTTCAATTTGATTGTCTTTTAGAAAGGCAAAGCAAGTTTCCTGCAACTTTTGGTTTCCAGTATTCTCGAGAATCGCATGTGCATGTGCAGTGCATGAACTAAAGAAAGTACCTGTTCTCGTATAAAACAAAATGGGTTTAATCCTAGTATACGGTGCCATGGAGGTTAGAATCAAAGAATATGTATTGTAAAGAAGGAAAACCTCTCTGCAACAGACGTGGCTCCGTTCCATCATAGAGGGAAACAGCCGTGCATGCGTGATATATCTGTCGCCAAAGCTCGAAACCAGTGTTTAAAATTTCTTTAACCACTTGCGCTAAAAAAAAGTCGAGATGCTTTTGTCTCAAACCGTGAGCGACGTGAACACTACGTCGATAAGCATTTATCACAAAAATGAAAATAACGTGGTGCACCCGTCGCCTAACAACGAGATTGTTTATTTCTCGAGTTACAGCTCTGGATTGCACTCGCAGATGTGGAGCGGCGTAAATGAGACACTTTACCTCTTGTTATATTGTAGCGCACGGCACCGCAACGTCTTAGCGCAAGTGGTTAAACTCTAAAGGAAAAGAAAATATTTTTTGGCGCAAGTAAATTAATTCATGGATTAGTTATTTTCAGGGGAAAAAAAAACTACGAAAATCCGTTTTTAAAATTATTGCGAAAAATCCAAGAAGAAACGTCCTTTGATAAAACGTTTCTTCTTGGATTTTTCGCAATAATTTAAAAACGGATTTTCGTAGTTTTTTTCTTTTTGTCAAAGAACGTTTCTTCTTAACACGTGTTTTCTCAATTTCCTGTACACATCGCGGAGAAGGCCAAATCCCTTGGCAAATTTTCCCTCCGCATTCTAGCGGCGTAATAGCATTTTACTTGTATGGAAACCTTTTCTTCTTTACCATAGAGACGTTCTTTTGGTTAGAATAATCTCCATGTAATGGGATTTGGCGACATGATGATGCGCAGTAAACGGGTCATTTTGGTCTTGGCGACAATTTTCAAAATCGTGCCAAAGCCTTACCGTATACTAGAATTTTACCGCAAAATCTTTTTAAACCTTTTTTTTTTTCTTTTTAATAAATACCTTGCCATTTTGCAGTAAAATAAAAAAATAGTAATCAGTCATCTAGGCTAACCATGTAATATAACTATATTCGCTAAAATATCGTTGATTATTCTAATTCAATTTTTAAGTAATTATCTTTATTTTTATGTTATTCGTATAATTTAATGTTGCTTCTTCCCTCTAAATTTATTTATTATTAGTAAATAATATTTCCAAATTTCAGGAAATTTTCTCTGGCATAATCCTGAAATTAATTCTAGCAGCGTAGTAGTATGATAGACAGTAGATGACACCATCACGAAATTTAATGCACATATTTTTTTCCTTATGTATGCTGCAAAATAAATATAAAATACCTCAATTTATTAAAATAGATTTCTTTCTTTCGTTTAGCTGCAGAATGTCTGCAAAAAAGCCTTATTTTATTCCAGATTGGGAAGATTCTAATCTCAATCTTCAGTGGAGAAAACAACAACTATTATAATTATATTTGTGTTTTCAAGTGTTAAGGTGCCTTTTAAGAACATACCTCACACAAATTAAATTTACCTAAAATCTAACCTAACTATTTAGCATTGCGTTGTGATTTATAAGGACCGGATTAGCCTCGTGTTGAACTGGTGATGATCATGAGTAATAATTAAATAAAACATACATTTGTTATCCAATGTATATATCTTAAATTTTATTAAGTTTCTTAAGTGGAAAAGTAAACAAAATTATCAAAGTATACCAATAAATGTCCTCTGGGATTTATTGAATAATTAAGTGAATTTGCTACACAATAGAAGTAATACCATAATTAATTTACCTCTTAGCACAGCCAAAAAACGAAAAATTGAATTTTTCTTCGGAAACAAAGGACCAAAAAGTTATTAATGCAGAATGTGTGTTCTCTGCCTTTTTACTGGAGCACAACCTGCCACTGAATGCATAGGATCACGCTGCAGCTTTATTTAGAAAAATGTTTCCCAATAGTGAAATCGCTAAGAAATACTCAATCGCAAGGACCAAAGCAGGTACAATTGTTAAAGAAATGGGTTTGAAAAATAAATCTTCAGTTATTGATTGCCTTAAAACAGCTCCATTCTGCCTCTCTATGGATGGAAGCAATAATACCGATTCAAAACTGTATCCAATTGTTGTTTCTTTTCTTAATCCAGAGTCTTCAGAAATTGAGCGCAGTTTACTGTCCCCACTTTAGAAGGACATTTGACAGGCTTTAATATAGCACAGCTGATTATTAAAACTTTAAAAGAAAATGCAGTCCCTCTGGATAATTGCTTAGCACTTGGTGCCAATAATGCACCAGTAATGGTAGGCTTGAAGACTGGTGTTGCAGGCATCTTAAGAAAGGAAAATTCAGATTTGTAGATTATGAGGTGCACCTGTCACCTCTTAAATTTAGCAGTTGAGAAAGGGGCAGCTTCTTTACCAATAAATGTGGATGAACACATTGTTGATATTTATTATTATCTTGAAAGGAGTTCTAAAAGGAAGGAAAAATTGAAACAGTTCCAACAGCTGCATAATACTGAAATGAGAAAAATTTTGAAATATGTGTGTACGCGCTAGCTGTCTGTAAAGAAATGCTTATCTAGAATCCTCAATCAATGGAACCTTTTTGCATTTTTTAAAGAAGATGTAAATACTTCGAGAGTTAAGATAAAAGGCTCTATTGAAAGTTATAAAATTATTAAATGGAGATATGGTTACTACTTACATTGCTAAAATAGGTTTGAGAAAAAGTAATTTCTGCTCCATTCAGCAATTCAACTGGCAGTTCTAAAAAAAATACTGCAAAATATAAGCATAAAGCTGATACAAATTTCTCTTGAAATAAAAAAAATTGCTCAACAGACGAAACATTTTCCGATTACTGTAAGTTTAGCTAAGCACAAATCTGCCACTGTTCATAACATTCTGAATATGAAAGCAAAATCTGCAACCGTTCATAAGATTTGTACGAAAACTGAATTAAGTGTCTTTTTTTTTTTTTTTTTTTTTTTTTTTTTCTTCTTCTTAAACGATGCAAGTAATAAAAATGTTTTCTATGTGTAAGGTATTTTTGTATTGCTTACATTTAAGAATTAGTTAACTATTTAAAGTTAATTCATTATTAAAAACTATATTTTTATCATTTTGTGAAAAATCTCCTGATTTCTTAAAAAAATCTGATTTTTGAGTGTCAGAGGTTGGCAAGTCTTCCATCAAACTAATTTTGGATATATATTCTAATAACTGTTAACATTATGTTTTCATCAAGCATTTTCTGTCATATACATTTTTTTTTGACATAAGAATTGGCATAAGAACATATGATATTTTGGGAAAAAACTACATTTCGGAAAATAACAAATAGCTTCTGTGTTATGTCTCAGCAGATCTAGTAAATGCATAATGCAGAATGTAATAAAAATTAATGCAAATCAAACAAATGTTATTCCAGTAAACTTGCTACTAGGAAAGGATTTTATTTATTTATTTTTTTAAATATTCTTGCTGTAATTGAAGTTGATGGGGTAGAATAAATATTAAAATTCTTCTTTAACAGGGAAACATAAACAAAAATAAAAATTTCTAAAAAGTTTGAAACACCTTCTAGAGTTGTCACAACACTTGCAGAAAAGAAAGTTAGAAGGTGTATTGCTGGCACTGCATGTCTGAGCATCAACTAATAGTCAAGTATCATATTTTGTGTAATTGCTATTCCGTAGTAAATACTAAATAAAGTTTCTTGGAAGTTGTGGATAATGGGAAAATTGATGTTATAAGAACCTTCCCCATCTGAAGTAGGTGCATAAAATCCTTAAATTCAAGAAAGTTGGTGAACTTATTATGTAGTGTGGACTTTAGTTGCATAGCTTTTGTATTTTCTTTATTAGTCTAATGAATTGCATACTGTAAAAATAATTTGAAAATTTTTTAATGTATTGTAATATATGTATTGATATTTTTTTATTGATCTTGTATTTAGAGAAGCGTGACTCTTATGAGTAGCAGCTCTCATCATACTTCTGTTATGCAGGCTACAGAATTTACATTTGCAGTAAGTATGCTTTACTTTTCTTTAATAATAAAAAAAAAAAAATCTGAAGTTAGTCTCTAAATTTTTGCGATATTTTTTCTAATTCCTCCATTTCCCCCCTTTCCATTATGAGAAAAATATTATAATATCAGATAGGCTCTTAGGGTGCTAGTTCTACTTACTTCTTGAGCATTAACCCCTTCGAGCCGGGTAGCGAAAACGCGCTTATCGCGGAGGCCGGCAGTGTCTTCCGCGAGCGTCTCTCCAGGGCCGGGGGCTTTTTTGCTACTAAGCCTAAATCCATGAAATTTCCGAAGTATCAACGCATTGTTTAATAATGCTCTATAGAGTATTTAAATGGCTTATGCTTTATAGATATTTATATATATATATATACTTTAATTACCTTATTTCTTGTTTAAATGCATATTTTACACTTTTTATTTTAATTACTCACCATTTTATGACTTTTAACATTATACATCTGAAAACTATATTACTTAAAATTCTCTTTTCATATGAAAAATTTTAAAACAGGGATCTACACACGGTCTTATGTTACATTCCTTGAACTCATAATAACTCATTTGCCGTTTTGGAGGATTTTTCCGGGAATGTGAACAAACGAAGCATCGTCGTCTCATCTTCTTATCAGTCTCTTCTGAACAAAGTTTTCGAAAATGTCTTTCAGTTAATCTTTCAGAATCAATATCAGAATTTCAGAATCAATATCTGAAATATTTTGCATCATTTCTGCTATTTCATGCTCTGTTAAACATTTTCGACGCTTCGACATTGAAACGGTAAAAACAGAAGGAATTCACGTTTAACAAGATCTAATTATTTTCTAAAAACTGAACTGTAAACCGAAATACTCAACGCTTTAGCGCATATGAAACTTCTACTACCACGTGTGAATAAAGTGCGATTTAAAGAGACGTCATAAATCACGCCATTCGGAAACATTTAGTTCCCCGTTTGTTTATATAATCAAAAACACGTGTATGTCAGTCATGCTTCTCTCAAGTCGAGTAGAAGGTCTAATGTACATGTATCTGAAACCATATGGGCATACAGTGCCATCTTGGCAGAAATTATAGTTTGAAAAACGTTCCAAGGTACTGGCACAAATACGGGACATTTGGTAGAAAACGCAACAATGCTCTGGCACGCCTGCGTGTCGGCCGGTAGATAAGTGCGTTCGTTGCTGGCACGTATACATGACAGTCGGCGCGAAGGGGTTAATGTAATAGTTTAAAAATTGAGAATTGTCATTAACAAACATCTTTGAGTTTCCCTTCTCCTTTCAGACCTGGCCACCAAGTGATAAGTAACTGAATTTTGGTAATTCAACCTGAGGTAGGTGAATGGGCTGGCTGCATGGGTGTTTTCATGGTTTTCCCCATGTGTAATGTGGATACAAGCCAGTTTCCTTGACAAAAACATATCTTCCCATAGACAGCCCTTGCTTCCTTTGCCGTAATTAACTTTTTCATGCGAGTTCAAATTTTTATGTATTGAAGCCATTAAGTCAACTATTTAATCAGCTAAGAACAGGAAAACAAATCAGTTGAGTCTGACATTTCCTGCTTTGCATTAAGTAACAAATTTTAAATCTCCATATTAAACTAAATTTCTCTGAGCTTAATTTAATGTAGTGAATCTGTGTGATGTATATATCCTAGCCTTAGGATAAGATTGAATAAAACGAAAACAAATCTTTGAGTTCTAGGATACAGTCAAAAGTCGTTAATTCGGACACCCATAATTCGGAATGATCTATAATCCGGACCTCAAAGCTAAAAACTTTCTGCGCATGCGCCGCGTTGACACATGCGCATAGGCGTTTACGCGTTGCGCGTAAGACCTCTTACGGACTGCGCATATGCGTGTGCGCAAGCGCAGAATACGTTTTACGCATGCGCGTTTAATGTATAATGGACGGTATAAATAAGCTAAAATTATCTAATTATCTATTTCAGTTAATGTTGCAGATTGCGTTGTTCCTTAATCTTCGAATTGGATCCGGCTTATTATTTTTTGCAGACTGTTAGAGCAATTTTATAAAAGTAAGCTTGAACTTTCGATTATGTCAAATAGAATTTCCGATTCTGGAGCTCCCAAAGGATCTACAAAACGAAAGTATGTTTCGATGTCCATCAACAAAAAGTGGAATTGCTGCAAAAAATGGATAAAGACATGAAGAATGTGACAGAGAGGTTAGTGAAAACGAAAAAATTTCGATTGACAAGTTAGTCGGTATTCTCGGCACAGCAATTAACGGGACTTGAACAGCGGAACTTTGTAATGAACAAAAAATTATGTCTGTTATAGAATTATAGAGAAAGTATTATCACATAAAACGAAGCAACTTAAACAACTTACATTGAAAGAAATGTTTAATAAAGTAAACAAATAAATATTAAGCTTTTTTTTTTGTAAATTTTGATACCCTTTAGATCATAATTGTTCTTTATTTCATAAATTACGGTTTCATATTTTTAATTTTAGAATTTCTGCATGCCATCTTACGCGATTTAAACTGATGATCTATAATCCGGAATCGCCAAAGTCCCGACGAGTCCGGATTAACGACTTTTGACTGTACTAGTTCTGCATATTCTAGCATTTCAAATTTTAATAGTCATTTAAACATCGACAAATATTGAATGTCGTCAACAAATATTTTGTAGTTCCCTTCTGGTTTTTTGCTTTTAGAATGCTAATTTTGCTTTTAGCATTAACAATTATTTAAGAAGTCTGTATTGCCATTAACATGTGCTAAATTATTTCAACTTTTTTAAGCCATGGTTTTGTAATAAATTGTTTTCACCTTCGTTATGAACGAAATAATGGATGCGTGTATGGTTTTTTAGTGTTAGCACATTTCTTGTATATAGAATCAAGGATTAAGTAATAATTCTCAACTGAAATCAAAGCATTATGACTGTCCCCACATTTTGTAATGAACTCATCTGGATGATGTGATTAAGTACAAATGGTATTTAACTGCTGCTGGAGAAGGAAAGGAATCATTCTTGTTCTTACTTTTATGAGTAATGGTAAAGGCTACTGATCTAAGTGAATCTAATAGAGGGCGGATTGTAATAGCTCGAAGACTCAGAAAGAGTATCTCTGAAATCATATGACTGGTAGTTTTTATGCTTACTGCTGCAGAAATCAAAAAATGAGAGCAAAAACAGTTGATCATCATCAAAGGGCTTCTCTATGGTCCACGGTTGTAATTTCAAACACCTTCTTTAGTGACTATTGTTGTCTGTATTTGTTCTTATTTGTTGGTTTCTACTGTACCAAGCAAAACACCATATTAAACAAGTACTGTACCATAGTAAAACATATTTTGTAACACTGTTCATGTCTTTCCTTTTTTTTCTTTTGTGTTGTCACTACCATGCCAAGGAAGCGTTTCTGACCATGCATTGCTTACTTCGTGATTTTCCATCACTTAGGTGTACTCCATCTCTCCTGAAAGTTTGTAACCATTTTGCTGAAAACCTCTGTATATATATATAATTTATTCACTAAAGAAATATTGACCATATTATCTCCTAAGATTAACCTCAGTAGAATTATCCTAAAAAAGTGAATCCATAGTTAGTATGTTCAATTCCGAAAATTGTCCCAAAGCAACTTGAATGCAAATTTTCAAAAATGTTCAACGGGGACTTGAATTAAATCATGAAAAATAACATTTCAACTGCAAAAAAGAAATAAATCAAAAGCAAGTAATCATTGCCATTGATCGGAAATTAGTTGACTTTTCAAGGGGAACAAACCAACTCCCATTCAATGAACAATAATTAAGAAATAAATACGAAGGTGTTTCGTCCTCTACTCCAGCATTAAGGCGATGCCAGACCGGCAATTCAAGCCAGACCAAATATTTCCGTGAATAGAAGGGATCAAGAACCAATGCAGAGCACCAAAAGAACTCATTTCGAATAAGCATTTTCGCTAATTCAATTTTGAGTGAGAAGCAATTTCTGCAGTAAAATTGATAAATTACTCAAGTAATTGTTCCCCCGACACCCTCGTGTTTATGCATTTTAATTCAAAACTATTTGCAAAAAATTAAACATTGGAAATTGGCATTATGAAATAGAACTCAAAGTCATTGAAATAAACATTAGAAAATTACGAAATATAAGAAATATAATGCAATCTTTGCAAAAACAAATCAAGAAATAATAATAAAAATTGAAATTTAAAATATATATAATAAGAAAAGAGAATGTACATGAAGATATAAAAGGCCAGAAAAAGCATTAATTAACTTCCGTTCTTTCTAGTGGGAAGTGGGCAAAGTGTTTTCTTCGCGTCTGACTCAGAAGGGTTGTGTTTCCGAAATTCTTTATTGGCAGCAGGAGCTTTGAATTATATCAGTTGGTGAGACTTGTGTGAAGTAATTTATGGGAGTGGAATTTTCGGAATTTTTGAGGGACGTATGTTTTGGAGTTCTTATTAGAGTGAAACTGTCTGTTAAAATTTTTGAAAATACTAGTGAATGGAAATTAATTAATTTCTGGCTAATTGTCGTGTCGTAACAAGGAAGAAATTAAGAAAAGGGGAAAAGGAATTTTCACTGTCAAAATGCTATTTGACAGACTAAAGATTATGAAATAGGCCCATTTTTTTTAGTAACAGCATAAGTCTGAAGACAATTAGCTTTTTACATTATATACAGCTTTGTAATTACACTATGTACAAATCCTTCAACTGATAGTCATCCAACTTATACCGCCTTCTCAGGTTTAGGAACAAATTATCATATCCCTATCAGTTAAATGATTTAGAGTGAGTATTTAACACCTGTTCTTTTAAGGTTAATAAATTGATTAGGTATTAGATTATTTTTCAGAATTTTAATAAGGAGCAAAATTTCGTCCTGTAGATTTATCGTATCTGTGCAGATATTTTTAATTCGTTGTATTTGATTTATTATTTTATTGTTAATTACTTTTTTGGAAATGTTTTAATTCCAATTTATTAATTTGTTAGTA